CTCGAGGGCGCGGACTGCGAGGTCCTCGTCGCGGACGCGAGCTACGCGGGCCTCGTCCGAGAGGCTCTGAAACGCTACGAAAAAATCCGCGCCGTCGTCTGGACTGACGTGCTGCACAAGGCCGCCGCGGACCTGGACGTGCCGACCTTCCTCTACGAGACCATCGTCGCCGACGGCCCCGTCGTCGAGCGGCCCGAGGACGCCAAAGCGCTCCCGGGCTCCGCCGGCGCGGAGATGTACTACACGTCGGGCACGTCGGGCCGCCCCAAGGGCGTCGTCCTCAGCCGCGAGACCGTGCTGCTCCACGCGCTGGGCTGCATGGTCGAGCACCGCGTCACGCGCGGCGACGTCTGGCTCCACTGCGCGCCCATGTTCCACCTCGTCGACGCCTACGCGATCTTCGCCATCACCTGGGTCGCCGGCACGCACGTCACGGTGCCGGCGTTCGCCGCCGCGCCTGTCTTCGACGCGCTCCGCGACCGCCGCGTCACCGTGAGCAACGTGGCCTCGACCATGGTCACGCTGCTCCTCGCGGACCCGGCCGTCGGAAAGGCGGACGCGTCGTCGCTCGAGATGCTCTCCTGCGGCGGCGCGCCGCTCTCGGCCGCGACGGTCCTGAGCGCGCTCGCGACCTTCGACTGCGAGTTCTTCCTGTCCTACGGCATGACGGAGTGCTGCGGGAAGATCTCCATGTCCCTCGTCGACGAGGCGACGCGCGACCGCGTCGGCCCGGCGAAGACCCTCGACCTCATCACGACGTCCGGCCGCCCCTTCGGCCTCCTCGAGGTCCGCGTCGTCGGCGCGCGCGACGGGTCCAACGTGCCGACCGTGGAGAAGCCCCTCGAGGCCGACGCGGACGCCGTCGACGTCGCGCCGGGCTCCGACGGCGTCGGCGAGGTCTGGATCCGCGGGCCGACGCTCTTCTCCGGCTACAACAACAACGCCAAGGCGACGGCCGAGGCCATCACGCCGGACGGCTGGTTCCGCACGGGCGACCTCGCCAAGGTCAACGAGATGAGCTACCTCACGATCACGGACCGCGCCAAGGACATGATTCTCGTCGGCTCGGAGAACGTCTACTGCGTCGAGGTCGAGCGCGTGCTTAACGACCACCCGGCGGTCAAGCTCGCGACGGTCTACGGCATGCCCGACGACGCCATGGGCGAGCGCGTCAAGGCCGTCGTCGTCAAGCAGGACGATTCCCTCACGGCGGCGGCGCTCCGGCGCCACGCCGCGGCCAAGCTCGCGGACTTCAAGGTGCCGTCGTCCATCGAGTTCGTGACCCGGGCGGAGCTGCCCATGACGGGCTCGGGCAAGGTCGCCAAGGCCGCACTCAAGAAGCGCGACGCGAAGCTCGCCGAGGAGCGCAAGGCCGCGCGCGCGAGCCGCAAGCAGGCGGCCCAGCCCCCGTCGGGCATCGCGGACCACGTCTACGGCGTGACCTGGGTCGACGCGCCCCTCGCCGCGGAGGCCGCGGCGGCCGTCGAGGGCTTCTGGGTCCTCCTCGACGACGGCACGGGCGTCGCCCAGGAACTCGCCGCGAAGATGACCGGCGCGAGCGCGGCCATCCTGCCGCCCGCCCCGGCGGGCGCGACGCTCGAGCAGGAGAAGGCGCGCGTCGCGTGCGCGCTCGAGGAGAGCGGCGAGACCGTCGCGGGCGTCGTCGCGCTCACGGCGCTCGGCGCCGGCGCCGCGCTCGGCGGCGACGTCGCCGGCGCCACCAAGGCCGCGCTCAAGACGCTCCTCGCGCTCCTCCAAGCCCTCGACGAGTGCGACGACGCGCCGCGCGTCGTCGTCGCGACGCGCGGCGCCGCGGACGACGCGTCCCTCGACGGCGTCGAGGCGACGGCGCCCGACGCCGCGCTCGCGTCCTGCGCCGTCTGGGGCATGGTCCGGTCCGCGGCCGCCGAGACGCCCAAACTCCGATTCCGCGTCGTCGACCTCTGCCCCTGCGAGCCGAGCCGCGAGCGCGACGCCGCGTTCCTCCTCCAGGAGCTCGGCACCGCGCCGCCGGCGTCGCGCGCCGAGTCCGCCTGGCGGAAACGGCGGCGCAAGGCGCCCCGGCTCGCGCCCCTGCCCGTGCCGCGACTCCTCGAGGGCGGGCCCGTCGTCGACGCGGACGTCGCCGCGGGCGTGCACGTCGTCTCCGGCGGCACGGGGGGCCTCGGCGTCGAGTGGGCCGGGAAGCTCGCCGCCGCCGCCGGCAAGGCCGCGACGCTCGTCCTCGCGTCGCGCCGCGCGCCGAGCCCGGAGCTCGCCGCAAAGCTCGCGAAGCTCGCGAGCGACACGGGCGCGACCGTCGTCGTCGAGCAGGCCGACGTGTCGCTCGCGTCCGGCGCCGAGGCGCTCCTCGCGCGCGGCGCGGCCCTCAAGCCGACACCGGCGACGAAGCTCCGGGTCTGGCACCTCGCGGGCGTCGTCGACGACGGCGCCGCGCCGGCGCTGACCTGGGACCGCTTCGCGGACGTGCTCAAGCCCAAGGTCGACGGCTCGCTGCACCTCCACGCCGCGTCCCTGAAGACGCCCGTCGACACCTTCGTGCTCTTCTCGTCCATCTACGGCCTCCTGGGCTCGCGCGAGCTCACGCACTACGGCGCCGCGAACGCGTTCCAGGACGGTCTAGCCGCCGCGCGCGCGCGCGGGGGCCTCCCGGCGCTCGCCGTTTCCTGGGGCACCTGGGCCGACGCGGGCATGGCACACCGTTTCGGGTCGGGCTTCGAGGCCCACATCAAGTCGACGGGCATGCGCTTCGTGCCCCTCGACGGCGGCTTCCAGGCGCTCGCGGCGCTCTCGCAGGTCGCGGGCCGGACGCGGTGCCACGCGGCCGTGCTCCCCGCGGACTGGGCCCAGTACGCGAAGCGCCGCGCCGCCGCGGGCCCGCACCCGCTCGCCGGTGGCCTCGTGCCGGAGGGCGCGGCGCCCGCCGCGGCCGCCGCGCCCGCCGCGGGCCTCCTCGGGGAGCTCGCGGCGGCCGCGCTGGCGGACCGCGCGGCGATGCTCGCGTCGCGCGTCGCGGCGCACGTCGCCGACATGATGGGCGTCGACGCGTCGTCCCTCGACCGCGACGAGCCCGTGACGGCGATCGGCCTGTCGTCGATGCACACCGTGGAGATGGTCAACTTCCTCAACGAAGAGCTCGACGAGGACTTTTCGCCGACGATCGTCTTCGAGCACGTGAGCATCGGCGGCGTCTGCGCGCACGTCGTCGCCGAGCTCGCGCTCTCGGCGGCGCCGGCCGCGGCCGCGGCCGCGGTCCCGCGCGCGCCGGCGCCGGCGCCGCCCCCGGCGGCCGGCGGCCTCGCGGTCGCCGCCGCCGCGTGCCGCTTCCCCGGCGGCGCGAACCTGCCGGAGGAGCTCTGGGCGAACCTGCTCGCGGAGAGGGACGCGGTCTCGGACGGCACGCCTTCGGACCGCCCCCACAACGGGCGGCCGAGCGCCTACCTCGCCGCGGCGACCGTCGCGCACTTCGACCGCGTCGCCTTCGGCGTCTCCGCCGCCGAGGCGAGCGCCATGGACCCGCAGCAGCGCCTCTTCCTCGAGTGCGCGGCCGAGGCGCTCGAGGTCGGCGGCCGGCCGTGCGCGCCCGCGCCGCCGGGGGGCTCCGGCGCGGACGTCGGCGTCTTCGCGGCCTGGGAGACGTCGGACTACGCCTTCCTGCACCAGCGCGCCGTCGACGCGGCCGAGGCCTCGCCGGACGCGTACTGCGGCACGGGCTGGCACGGCTGCGTCGGCGCGAACCGCGTGTCCTACCTGCTGGACCTGCGGGGCCCGTCGCTGGCCCTGAACACGGCCTGCAGCAGCTCGCTGACCTGCGTCGCCGTGGCGCGCAACTCCGTGGAGCGGCGCGAGTGCGCGGCCGCGCTCGTCGGCGGCGCGAACCTCCAGCTCATGCCCCACTGGTCGGCCGCGTTCGCGGCCGCGGGCATGCTGAGCCCGACGTTCCGCTGCCGCTTCGGGGACGACGCCGCCGACGGCTACGTGCGCGGCGAGGGCGTCGGCGTCGTGCTGCTCGAGGCCGCGGGCCGCGCGCCGGGCGCCGCCGCCGTCGCCGGCGTCGGCGTCGGCCAGGACGGGCGGTCCAACGGCCTCACGGCGCCGAACCCGGCGGCCCAGGGCGCGGTGCTCGCGCGGGCCTACGCCGACGCCGGCGGCGAGGCCGCGAAGGGCGACGTCGCGGCGCTCGAGGCCCACGGCACGGGCACGCGGCTCGGCGACCCCATCGAGCTCGGCGCGCTCGGCGCCGCGGGCCTGGGGGGCGGCGCCGTCCTGCGCTGCGCGTCGATCAAGGCGTCCATCGGCCACCTCGAGGGCTGCAGCGGCCTCGCGGGCCTCGTGAAGAGC